ACAAGGGGAAAGTCCCAAAGAACAGCTCTGAGCAAATCAGAATAGGACAACTCAAGGGTGACTGTGCATTATTGACCAAAATACACCCAGATTTTAATATGCATTAGGAGTGACTTGCAAAATCTCATAAGAAGCCTGTAGAGTAGGACCAAGGTCCAGCCCAAAAGGGATGGACTAGCCTGATGGGGTGACTGGTCTGGAGTCTGGTCAGTCAAAATCTCAGGCTATATAAACAAAAGTTTCAGTGAAAACTCTGTTGTTTTGGGGATCCACTTCACGAGCGAGGGAGCTCAGGACAAACCCGAAGAACCTCTGGACGAATTGTGGATTAATAGGGCAATTTTGGACGGTCTCTGCTGGAAGAGAACTAGGGTGAAATCCGTAGGAATAAGTTTATTTTTTGGAACTATTCTTCAACCCATCATCCCGGATTTATTCCTAAATACTTTTCTTCAAAATTCAGACCAGCAGAGGACCAGGAACGGCCCACCTCTGAGAGAAAACCTGGGGAAATTTGCCTCTTGGTAATTCAAACCATGGTAAGAGGACGTTTCTCAGATTTTGCCCTTAATGAAGCTTTTTCCCAAATTATAGCAGTGGTATATGAATTGACAAGCAGAAACATCAATTATATTAAAAACCTGGTTGTTCAGAGTTGTAGAAGGGTCTTCTTTGTGGTGAGGAATAATCTGTTGGGACAGGTAGAGAGAGAAGGTAAACTGTGTGGGTACTTGTGTTCCTGAGTGAGACCGGGCGTGACCGGCCGGGCTAAAGGACATCTGTGGCTGAGCAGAGAGGAGTCCAAGAGCCTGTTTCAAGCCCATCCATAGGGACTGAGATTTACCTTGCCTAGGAAAGGTCAACAACTAAAAAAGGGACTAAGGAGTGAAAATCATTCATCATGTAATCTCTGTGTAATCATTATTGTGCAATACCGCTGTTCCTCTATAAAAGTTATTGATTAAAGCAAAGCAAAATGTAAAATTCTGGATTCTTGTTTCAAACACCCCTTTTGTTCTTGGAAGTGGAAAACTTGGTTCAATGAAACAACAGAAACATGGGAGGTTTTAAATGGTTTTATTAGCTTTTGATTATAAAACAACATCCATGAGCCTTGTGCCTAGGCTCTAAATATCGCCAGATCGATTAACAATTGTAACGCTAAATCAGGAGATGAGCTACAATTAACTTGTGCTCCCTCGTCTGCTAAATGTCCCCACTCCTGCTGCTAGGTCGGGCGAGGCACGAGGTGAAACTTTGGGTGTGGTGCAAGGATCGGAAGTAGTTAACAGTCTGGGTGAATCATCTCAACACAGCCTTAAAACTAAAACTGTCCTAGGGAGTGGCTGCGGGTAATACCTGAGCTATAGGATTAGTTTTGAGACCTGTTGGAGGAGAGGCTGCAGTGAGGGCGTGGCACGTGTCCTGTGCCTACCTCACTCGGGAAAGCAAGACATGGTGGCAGCGGTGGGATACGTTTTTTTTAGTGTAAAGACCCCCAAAGAGAAGGCGCGTATCAGCGGGCTGATCAAGCACCAAAGAAAGAACACAGTCCCTAGAGTTGAGGGAGTGTGAGCGGCTGGACCAGGCCACCAGCCAAATACCTCTTAGTAATCCACTAGGCAGTGGGTGGGGTAGGAAGGCTTACGAAGGGTTACTGACCATAATCCAAGTAGTAAGTTAAGCAGCTAGTCTGTTCCCATCTGAAGTACAAGGAATAGAGTCTGGAGACTCTGAGGAACAGACAACTCGAGATGGCAAAAACAGAAAGATGGCCACGGGCGTGGCAGGAACAGTACTCAAAGGACTGCTTGAAATGACAAACAAAAAAGTGAAAATGGCAAAAGTAGAGACCGACAGTCATTACTGTGCACAAGCCCTAAATGAGGACTTATCCTTCTGGGAAAAAAATCGATTTGAGAGTGCTGAGGGAAAAGTGGTGGCTCACCATGACTTGTGGAAGAAAATAGCTGAACTCAGGCTAAATCTGCAATTAGAAGTGGAACACCAAAACAGGACTCCAGTCAGCCAACAGGTGAAAAGGAGGAACCCAGACCCAGACCAGTGGTCATTCCATATGTTGAGGGAGTATCAGAGAAACTGAGATGTTTATTTTCTAAACATAACGTCCCAGTGGCTTTTAAACCCCAAAATACATTACGGCAAAGACTGGTTCATCCCAAAGATCCAGTCCCCCGGCACAAACAGAGTAATGTTGTGTATGCTGTTCAGTGTCAGGATGGCTGTGATCAGTCTTACATCGGGGAAACAAAACAGCCACTGGCCAAAAGGATGGCCCAGCACAGAAGATCAACATCATCAGGCCAGGACTCTGCGGTCTACACTCATCTGCAGGCCAGCGGTCACGCTTTCAGGGATGAAGATGTGCACATCCTGGACAGAGAGGAACGGTGGTTTGAGAGAGGAGTAAAGGAGGCCATCTTTGTGAAAAGAAACCGTCCATTGTTAAACAGGGGTGGAGGCCTACGTGTTCAATTGTCCCCCTCTTACAATGCTGTGATTGCTAGTATCACTCAGCCCTCTGTGAATAGTAAACAGCCATCAGTGTGCTAATGATCCATTGTTAGGCTGATGGTCCTTCTTGAGCATGTGATCAGCTGGTTTTGGTTGTCAGCAGCAAAACTGGTTGATCCACTCTGAGAAGGTGCTATTTAAGAGACTGAGCTGAATACAGCACCTCAGACTGAGGAAGTCTCTCGGATGAGAGACGAAACGTTTCTACATTTTTTTGTTGTTTTGCTTTGTTTTTGTTTTTTTTTAATGTCCAGAGGACCAGATTTAACTTTTTTAGATTTTTCTACCTGGATTATTGAGCATGCATCAGGATACAATTTAGGAGAGTTTCCCAATTTTTGTTGCATTAAGGGATTCTGAAGATGCCTTTGTATTTTTATTTTTTTTTTATTTTTCTCCTTTTTGTTTGATAGTTTTTGAACACACTTTAGATTTTAACTTTTATTTTTCCAACTAAACTTAATTTTTGATATTTCACTCCGAAGGATTCTGGGAACACGAGGTAAACTCGAGATGCCAGCTGACGGCTCATCAAGTCCAATAACGATCTTGGGTTTCTGAGGGTTCTCTGGGGTTTCGGAACAGCAAAAATCTTCCCCTGAACCTAATCACCTTACCTTACTTTGGCTCAACAGAGTAAAGATTAATATATTTTTATTTTTCCTCAACGGAGCTTATGGATTTATAATTTTCTGTTTTTACTCATCGGAGCTTCACAGATTTATAATTCTTTGGTTCAGGTCATTGGAGCAAAGGAATTACAACACGATTGAACAGTTTTGCCCCTTGGACATCAAACAACAATCAACAGTAACACCTTTCAGGTAACAAGTGGACTTTTGACTACTGACATTGTTATGTAACCGAATAATCACTATGGATTTCTGCTATAACGCTGTTCCCCTGCAAATCATTGATTAAAGCAAAGCAAAACGTAAAATTTTGGATTCTTATTTCAACACCCCTTTGTTCATGGAAGTGGAAAACTTGGTTCAATGAAACAACAAAAGCACGGGAGGTTTTTAAAGGTTTCCTATCTTTGATTATAAAACAACATCCAAGAGTCTTATGCCTAGATTCTAAACAAAGCCAGATCGGATAACAATTGCAACGCTAAATCAGGAGATGAGCTACCGTTAACTTGCGCTTCCTCGTCTGCTAAACGTCCCCACTCCTGCTGCTAGGTCGAGCGAGGCATGAGGTGAGACTTTGGGTGTGGTGCAAGGATCGGAGGTAGTTAACAGTCTGGGTGAATCATCTCAATACAGCCTTAAAACTAAAACTGTCCTAGGAAACGGCTGCGGGTAATACCTGAGCCA